TAGTTAACATTTAAGAGCTCTACCTAGATGCCAGGAACTACTCTAAATACTTTCCATACATTAATTCATTTAACCTTCACAATAACTTTGTAAGGCAGATATTCTCATAATACCTAATTTTATAAGAATAAATGTGAAAATCAAAAAGCACTGTGTGGTCAGGCACAATGGCTCATCTGTTGTATTCCCAGTTATTCAGGAGTCAGAGCCTGGGAAGACTGTGGTTTGATGCCAGCCCAGGCAAAAAGTTAGCTAAACCCCATCTCCAGCAACAAGTCAGGCTTGGTGGCATGTGCCTGTGATCCCAGCTATATGGGAGACCGTAGATAGGAAGATCATGGTCTGAGGCCAGCCCAGGGCAAAAACACAAAGCCCTACCCAAAAATAACTAAAAGCAAAAAGGGCTGGGAGTGGCTAAAGTTGTACAGCACCTGCCTATCAAGTGCAAGGCCCTGAGTTCAACCCCAAGTGCCACTAAGTAAATAAACAAACAAATTCATTCCAGTACCACCTAAACAAACAAAGAAGCATTTCATGATTTTTCCCACCCTCTTTGGTACTAGGAATTGAACCCAGGACCACACACGGAAGACACGTGTTCACCATCAAAGTACCCATAAGTTAGTGAGTGTGTGGCTGAATTTTCAATGGGGCCCAAGGAGAAAGCAAAAGTAGTAACACAACTTATCTTTTGTACAAACTTGGAGTTACACTGCTGGCCTTGCTGCAAGCAGACCTTTAAAAGCTGCTACATGTAACAGGTATCAGCAGACCTAGAAGCAGCCCTCACAGGATATACTGCTGAAGAATCCTACATTTGGGAATGCGTAGACTCCTTCCAGAGCATCAAGAAATGGGTTACAATTTGTTGGCTTCTTTGTTAGTCCACAGGAGAGAGAACCCTGACTTCCAATGCCTACTGGAACACTCAACAAGAGATGCATAAAACCAGAACTAAATGAGTGTATAGGAAACCCTAAGCCCCTAGGAATGGGCATAAAACCACACGACTCATTTTAAGTCAACTCAATAACTAGGAGAACTAGTAGAAGAGAGGAGGTGATCAGAGGCAGCCAGTTTTGATTAGGAGCAAGACAAAAAGAGGCTCCAGTAAAACAAGCTCCAGAGCAAGCCACTCAAGCTCAGGCTCAACACACTTAGCATCTGTGCTGGATTAGGATGCAGTGTGGGTTTTCTGGACAGTCTCTGTGGGAGAATTTTAGCACAGCCCTCTGGATTTCCCGAAGCAAAGTTAGACCTTCTGCAGCACTACTGGAAAAAGCACCTCAAGACATGATAATGGGCTCCTGACACAAGTAGGGAACATTAAGGATTCTGTGACTAGAGCTGCCATCACGAGCTACCAGTCACAAGGTCAGGCACAGCAGCAATCACTGCATGGTAGAAATGGTGTATGTGGCTTACCCAGGTCCACAGGGCATGAATAAACTGTGAGAGACAGCCCAAAACCTCATGCAACCTACCTCTACTGCACTGATCTTATTTATGGTCATAACAATAACTTTATAGTACATTCACAGTGATTAACAGAAAAGAAAAACCTATGACTTGGTTAACAGAGAAAAGTAAAAAATGGACTGCTAATGTTCTAAACCCTACTCACATGACTTTATGGACAGAGGGAAACTCTCTCGATGGGCACTGTGAAAGGAGAAGAAACTAGAAGAAAAAACTTGGGCTCCGAGGTAGTAGGTGATGGTCGGCTGATTGATAAGGGGGATGGAAGAGTCAAATAGAAAAAAAAAAAAAAAAAGAGAGAAGGAGCTTGGGAAAGAGGCATGTTCATACCCCTAAGAGGGTCAATACAAAGTACCACCACTACAGAAGAGGTATGCAACTACATCCTAGCTACAGATGGACGACTCATCATCCATCCAGTTTCTGCCCTTGGTTACCCCAATGTTGGAGCAAAAAAGGCCCATGAATGGGATAGTTATGTTGACAGATGGAGGAATGCTATACACAGATCAACCAGCATGGCCTCCTTCTTATGAAGGCTGACTTAATTATTGATACTGTTGAGTGCCAACTAACACAGGAGGATGCAGAATGGGTTTACCTTCCCTGCCCAGCATACACCCTATTAACAACACCACTATCTAAAGGCTTTAAGAGCATCTCATGGTGGGTATCAATTATGGCCTCAGGACCAGCTGCAGTAGTGGGGATTACAGCTTATTCCTCTAACCCTTGTTAAAGATATAACTTTTAGTGATTAAATAGCCACCAATTTGAAAGGTCTATGATGGAGCAGATTTAATGAGAGATAAGAGAGGGAGTCTCTAGCATACTTTGGTGCTCTGCAACAGATCCTCTCAGCCTCCCTTTTCTCACTGCAGCTCTGTGCAGTCTGATAGCATCTGATATCAAGAGTGAGCAAGTGAGTTCGTTCCTCACACGGGGCACCAAAAAAAATCAAAAAAAAAAAAAAAAAAGAGTGAGCAAGGCATGGCTTGGTTCTGTTCTTCGGGGACTTTTCCAAACCTAAAGAAGAGAGCTTGGGCGTAGGATGGGGAGGGGTGGGACACTCAGTAGTAGAGCACTTACCTAGCATGCATGGAGGCCCTGGGTTCAATCCTAGCAACACATATACACACTCAGTCAAGAAGACAACTCAGCAGTCTAGAGACACGACCACAGAAGCGTAGTGCTTACACCCTAGGAGAGCCCTCAATAATCAAGAGAAAACAGTCAAGGCATAACCGTCCTTTGGCAGGACAATACTGAAGTACATTCGGAGGATTCCCAAAGGGACTGAACACCACTGAAGTACAGTACTAGTTCACTGGCTCATTAACACACCAAGTAATTTTACTCTTCTGTCTCATTTTTCCCATTCTCTCATTTGTTTTTTGGTTCAGCTCCCAAATAAACTGCCCAGCCTGCAGTCCTTTTCTCAAGGCTTACTATGAACAGAATCCACACTGAAAGTGGTAAAGCCAAGATGTGAACTGAGGCAAGCAAGCTCCACTGCTTGTACTTCTGAACAGAGTATACTGCCTCTTTAAAAGAGGTGGTATACATTGTGGGACACTAAAGTTAAAAGCAACGAGAAAGTGTACATACAGTGATATGTAGAGATTTTTCCAGCGTTGAGAGAAAACAGTTAAAAAGAAGACAAAATATCTGCAGCAATATTTAAATTATGCCAAATACTTACTTATACCCTAATCCACAATGTTTTATAAGGATACATTCATTCAAAGAAAATACAGCAAGAACAATTACAGTGGTTTCCTAAAGCAAGAGAAAAAGAAAATGGAAAATGGGAGTGCAGGATGAAGAATAAGGGAGATAAAAATAAGTCAACTGAAGGGCCTTATAGAAAACAAGTTTTCTGCATGAACTGAAAGTATGATTAATTCGAATTTCTGAATCAATAAAGAGTAAAGCATTGTCACTATCTTAAGTGGGAAAGTAAGTGTTATTTGTCATGAATAGGAGGTTATTAAAATAAGTAAGTTTTTAAATCTTTAAACATTCATCTGTGTATTACTAAAATAATTCTGAATGCTACCAGAATAGTCAGTGTGCTTTGGAAAACGCTGTTGTGACTACCAAGATAAGAATGATAGAGGCAATTGAGTGAGTGTTGGTTGACCAATATTTCCAGTGAAATATAATGTAAGGCTCTAAACTTGGATGGTAATGGGGAATCAGGAAGGAGATGATGAAAACATTCATGATACATTATAGAGGTAAACCTGGTAGGAACTGATCTTTGATAGAAGGTAGGACACAAAAGATGAGGAAGATACAGTGTGAGATCCAGAGCTTGGGTGATAACAAAGAAGCCCATTAACAAAAGGAAAACACTGGGCGGCAAGCTCTTGAATTAAATGTAAAAAATGTAAAGTGTGAGAGATGTTAAAAGCTTAAGTCATCCTGCAAGCTGTCAGAAAAATGGGTCTGAAGCTTAGACACAAGGTCACAACTGAGGCATAAAGGTAAAAGACATTTTATAGCTAATTCTTAAAATCATGAGATTAAGAAAGACATAAAAAAATAAAAGGATCTCTAAAATAAAACCTTGAAAAAAAGTCATTTAAAAGTAGCAGGAGAAAGAAAAACAGAAGGAATAAAGATGCAAAATTAGAAGAACACAGGATCATGGAGACCAAGAGATCTTCAGGAAAGAGAGAATGATGACAGCAAAGGATGTGAACCCTGAAAATATTAGAAAGTCACAGCATTTTTCAGAAGAACAAATCCAGGGGATTTGGTAAGGGTAGGCAGAGGTTAAAGTGACTGTCTTATGAAAGCAGAAATAGTGAGCAAGAACTACCATTTCCAGAAGTAAAAATATAGAATATTTTATAACACTGCATGTCCATTTTTTCAAAATGCAGATCCTGAAAAATTCAAACCTTTCACCTGACTTGATTCTCTGCAAATATTATCTTAGAATGCTTTTCTATTTCTGCCATTACTGCAGCTCCTACTTCTATACATTAAATTCTATTTTCAAAGACATACTATTCTAACATGCTAAAAATCTTATCCCCAATTCTAAAACATGTAAAAATTATACTTTCTAATTTTAAACAGAAGTAGAAAAATCTTAGAAATGCTTATTTTCTATAATTAGAATTTTAAAAGTGATATAAGTAAGAAATAAAATATTTTTTATTCCTGAAGAGGTTCAAGAGGAAAACATATTAGAATTACTTGCTAACTCATAAGAAAAATGATTCAAGAAACTAAAAAGCTGAATCCAGGCACAGTGACTAGGGTATGGCTCAAGTGCTAGAGTGCCTGCCTGGCAAGCAAGAGGCTCTAAGTTTAAACCCCTGTACAGCCCAAAATAAAAAATAAAAAAAAGAAAAAGAAAAAGAAAAGAAAAGAAAAGAAAAGGTTAATACAAAGTTGTGGTATTATAAAGGAGCTAAAGAAGTTCAAAGTTGCAGTTAAAGGACAATTTTAATAGTTAAGAAAATTTTCATATTGCTCTATTATTTTCTTGAAAGTTTTTTCCTTACCTCAGGGAGGTTGCTAGATAAAACTGGACTTCCAACTTTCTCCAAACAGCTTTGACCTATGCTTCCATCTCATGAATTCCAAGACAGTATTAAACGGATGCATATTTTCATAAATCTGTTTGGGAAAAAAAAAGAACGTATTTAAGACAAAAAACTTTTTTATCAGAATAATATGTGTTAAAGTAATACTAAAAATGTTTCATGTGTAAAATTATACATTTTACAAGGCTATGAAAAGCTCCAGTTTTTTTTAGAAACATCACTTTACTATTTTCCCAACCTCTGACCAAAGGAGAATTTAAAGTTAATTCTGTGAGAGGGAAAAAAGGTTATTACCTATAAAACTTTCATTTTAATTTAAGGTTTTGAGAAACAAAAATCTCAATTTGAAAAAACAAGAACTGTTGGAAACAGCACTGAAATGTATAATTCTACCATATTCAGATTCTTACATAGCCAAAAACATATTTGATCACTGAGCTAGTATCATTTTTTTCCCTTTCTAAATAGCTCCAACTACTACCTAGAATTTGTGAGGATGAAGAATTAATCACACTGATGGTTCAATACCATGGGACAGATATAGTTAGGACCCTACTGCTTCAAGGAACAAACATACATAAATCTAAAAGATGGAAATCAGACAGGAATGGTGGCACACACTTGCCATCCCAGCCCTAAGGGGGCTGAGGCAAGAGGATCCTAAGTTTGAGGCCAGCACTAACTACATAGTAACTTCAAGGCCTGCCTGAATTACATAGTGAAACCTGTCAATCAAAAAAGGGGGGAGGGAAGCCAAAGAAAATTTTAATTTAAAGATGTGTCATGTTTACTCAGAGATCTTAAAAATAATTTCAACTTCAAATGACAAAGTTTGTTGTTTCATATTTCAAAACGAAATTTCAAAAGCTGTATGAACATTACCTATGGCCCACTGCAAGGTCAAAGGTCTTTATTTTCAAGACCATTTAGAAGCGTCATTTGTATTAATGCTTAAATTTCGGGTCTTGGCAATAATGATGACATTCATGTAAACTAGGGCAAACAAAATGGCCTAGCATACCAGATAGTAGTCTTCCTTAAAGACAAGAGTCTCTGCTCAGCATACAGGCTGACACAGAACCAGGCTGAGTCTTTTAAAGACCCTGAAGCAATTAGAAATGCTTTATCTGCATTTAGGAGCCTTTAACAGTCTTCTTAGTGCACCACTTACCCACAACTTAATCAGGTCCCTAACATTTTCCAAGTGTTTTTATGACTATAAAATTCTCAGACTGTCACTAAGAGAAATGAGGAAGGCCATTTCTCTTATTTTATTTCCTGTGACCTTCATAATCTTAAATAATTTCTTTAACACTAATTTTTTAAAAATGCATTATGTTTCCACTTTAGAAATGGCAAAAGATTTCCCTCCAATGTCATTCTTTACCATTATTCCCTGGGGATATGTGTGTAGAAGGAGAGGAGGTAATCACTATATTAAATAAAGCCCAAATTAATCTATTTGCATGAAAGTAAAGACAGTCCACCATTGTGCCTCTGTTTAAAATATACAGCCTTAGTAGGGCACCAGTGGTTTATATCTATAATCCTACCTATTTGGGAGGATGAGATTGGGAAGATCATGGTTCAAGGCCAACCCAGGCAAAAAGTTCAGAAGACCCCATTTCAACCAATAGCTGGTATGGTGGCACATGCCTGATACCCCAGTTACAAAGGAAGCTCAGATGGAAAGGATCATGGTTCTAGGCTATCCCGGGCAAAAAAAAAGTTCATAAGACCCCATCTCAAGGGAAAAAAGCTGTGCGTGGCAGCTGTCATCCCAGCTATAGCAGGAAGTCCAGGACTGCCTGGGCAACTCTATCGCAAAAACAACCAGGGCTGGTGGAGTGACTCAAGTGGTAGAGCGCCTGCCTAGTAAGTTTAAGGCTCTGAGTTCAAACCCCAGTGTCATCAAAAACAACAATAACTTAACCAAAGCAATGCTCCTGAATCGAGGCCAGCAATTTGCTGAAGCAGGAGCCTAAAGACATGTCTTCCTACAGTCTGTTGGTCATTTCAGAACTATAGAAATGTAATGGCCAATTCATTAGAAAGAAACATCAGGTTAATAAAAAAAAAAAAAAAAAATCACCAGAGCAAAAAGAGTTGGAGGTGTGGCTCAAGGAGTAGCTCTGCAGGCATGAAGCCCAGAATTCAAACCCCAGTACAGCCAAAATTGTGTTCATGTGTCTATATTCACACACATAAATGTATAAGCCTTAGCCTAATTACAGTAGATAGTCCAGTGGATCAAATAATAATATGTAAACCATTTACTGATCATTGTTTATTATAACACTAATTATTATATTTGTTTCCACAGCTAAAAACAAAGGTTTAAGCTTTAGGCTAAATCTAAAGTTAGTAAAAGAAAACACATAACCAGAAGAATTTTCAAATATGCCACCTTCAAAACTCCAGATGATCTTTTCCCCTTGGTTCTCTCATATACACGAACACTTAACAAACTTGAGAAAATATTTTTTAAAAAGTGGCTTTAAAGCCTGCTAAGGAAAAGTCAAGTAAGATTTGACTTCATTACTCAGAGGAAAACAAAAGACAATAAAGAAAAGGATGTGTTTCACAGTACAGGTCTGCAAATCATATTTTACATACTAGAAATCATACGAATAAAGTAAAGGTTAAGACCTTTACAATATAGTGCTACAGTTCTGCAAGCATAAAAATCCATAAATACGTACATGCATAAACATAGGTTTTACATAGTCAAAAAATATTTCAAACTTCAGTCATTTAATTTACAAGGTAATTTACTACAGGCTTTTAGCACTTTACACTTATGTTCAACAAGGGATGCTGGTAAAAAGCAAAGTATAATTTTTTCACGAAATATTTTGTGCTGAAAATTTCAAGCACATTAATTACAGCAAACACATTAAATTGAAGGTAATTCTAAAAGCACATCAAGAGCTTCTTAATGACTTGGGATAAAAGAAAATCAAACTTTTTAAAGTATATACTAACACTGTATAATTCAGTACTAACGTCAGTTCAAAGTTAATTATTTGCAAACAAACAAATGTTCATTTTATTCCTATGTTTTCTTTACAAAGTATCGTTTCTGACACACCAAAATATATACATTTCTCTTGATTTTCAAAATTATTTAAACTGTCAAATTTTAAGTAACCAAGGTATTTTAATGATCACTAAGGACAGGAGTGTAGTTCAATGGTAGAATGCTTGCTTACTATACATTAGGCCCTGGGTTCAATCCCCAGCACTGCAAAAACTAAAACAACATTCACTAGGCACACAGAACCCACCAGGGACAATACCCATTGTGGACAGTAGTTATTTTTAAATCTGAGGTATTAAAGCAAACCCATTAATTCCTATAAATATAAGATTTGGCTTATAGAAAAGAATACAGCATAAATATGCTTTGATAAAACACATTTGGTCTAAGATAAAACTTAAAATTACTCAAATGTGTATTAGTTATCAAAATGTAATTCTGAGTATTCAAAGGAATCAAGTGATTGCACATCTTACTTTTACTATTGTTCTTTCTCCTGTCCTCAGCACCCATAAAAAGCACCCCATGTACTGTATAAATACTATTTATTGTGTAAACACTACAACTGCACTCAAACAATCATTTTTTAAAAATAAGAACCACATTACAAGATAATGTGTATTTTACAAATGTTTCAGCTGGGATCTTAAACAAAAGGTAATACTATTAAAACCTTCAGTATATTAACTAGAAATCACAAACATTATGGTACAAAAATATAATACAGTTTTAGCTTTAAGTAACTCAAATAACGTAATTTAAGTTAGCTTATCATTCACTTGTAAGCACATAACACAAAAAGCGATGATAACTCATGAACAAGCTATATTCTAAATGTTTGAAGCCGGGTGCTGGCGGCTCAAGCCTGTACTCCTAACTACTTGGGAGGCTGAGACTGGGAGGATTACAGTTTGAGGGAGTTTGTGAGATCCCACCTCCAAAATAACCAGAGCAAAATGGACTGGAGGTTTGGCTCAAGCAGTACAGTGTCTGTTTTGCAAGTGTGAAGTTCTGAGTTCAAACCCCAGTCTCACCAAAACAAAGTCTAAAAAGTCTACTTATCAGCTGAATATAAGCTTGATTTTAAAACTCAAGATGCAGCCAGGCACAATGGCTCATACCTATACATTTAGGAGGTGGAGATCAGGAGGATTATGGTTCAATGCAATCCCTAGCAAAAAACAAGACCCCCATCTCAACAAAAAAAAGCTTAGCATAGTGGTACACACTTAAAATCCTAGCTATGTGGGAGGCATAGGTAGGAGGATCACAGTCCTGGCATGCCCAGGCAGAAATGGTTGACCCTATTTGAAAAACAACTAAAGCAAAAAAGGGCTGGGGGTGTGTGGCTCAAGTGGTTGAGCCCCTGCCTAGCAAGTGTGAATCCCTGCATTCAAACCCCAATAAACCTTCAAGATGCCTTTTCTATAAATCCGAAGATATAAACAGTGCCATTAAATATATATAAAAACAAAAATGATAAATACAATACAAACGAACTTCAGTGAATAATTCTTCTGTTTAAGCGTATTTTCTTCTTACCAAATTGAAAATTTTTTTCCAAATGGATTCATTTCTGTATTCTAGAATCTAGCATAGTTAATGACACAGAATAGGATTTCAACAAATATTAACTGATCTGAATTACTGAATAGTAACAACCCAGTGATATGATCCTGAGCTGTCTAAAAAAACCTATCTAAACTATAAAAGAGTGCCAAAGACAAGGAGGAAAATGCTTCTTTCAGTATCAGAAAAAGATTCTTGGGCTAGAAACTAGCTCTGTTGTAACTCAATTGGGACTTTTCATTCCCTTTGCCAGTAGGCAAAAAGTACTTAATTACAATTCTGGCCTATAAGGCTAAACTATGTTAGCTAGGGAGCTTCCAGAAAAGACTTTGCTGGTTTGAAGAAAAGAGCCAGATGAAAACAACTCTCACGTCTTTTTTTTTTTTGCTTTTTTAAATTCAACTCTGGATTAGAATGTGTTAATCAGAACTGTAGCAGTCACCATAGGATCACGAGAACTGCCT